GCGATTCGTCGCGGCGCCGCGCGCTTTTGGCCACAGCCCGCCGCGTTTGTCGCTAGTGTTGTGACATCGACATAGTGCATCACAGGCGCCGACACACAAGCCGACTGTTTGCATTGTACTACGTGCCGTGACATATCGTTTGAACCGCCGCCGCCGTTCGGCTAACGCTCCGTTGTTTTATAGAGTTAAGCTTTGTTCCAATGAATAAGTCAGTCAGTAAAGAGGGTTAACAATTACACAAGACCTAGACATCGCCTCCAGCCATTGTTCGTGCATTCTAAGGATGCTCTGATCTGTAGCTAGAAGGATATTCGCATGATGTTGAAATTCTCAAAAGAGCTTGAAATGATAACATAATTCAAAAACAATAGATATGTAACCTTTAATAAATATAACAGGCTCATAAATTATGTTCTTAACATCTACATTACTGAGAGGGATGTATTATTATTATAGTACGTTGAATGTCATCAATAAACATGCAAGCGTAAAACAAGCATAACCTACCTCAAAATGGAGCATCGAATATAAAAAACGCGCTGAAAACAGAGGCAGTAGATGATCATAAATTTCCGCCTGGACATGCAGCAACGACTCGGAACTTGATACTCCCGAAAACGACATCGTGGAAATGGAGATCCACCCAAGGGCAACTTGTCCGCCCTACACAGACGTATCTAAAAGAATCCATGATTTTTTTTTTAACAGAACAAATCGCGCTATTCTATAGTATAGTTGCAAGTAATTCGATAATTTTTTTTTTAAATCAGATAAATGATTCATATTGAATTAGGAATTATTTTTTCTCATTGAATACATACATATTGTGTACAAATTAATATACGTTTACTAATAAAAAATAGCGAATACTTTCTCGGATTCTGATAACGAATATCTATTCTCTGATGTTGGTAATCGACCACAATAAGTGTCCTTATGAATTTAAAAACAAAACGAGACAAATTTTTATTATTTTTATTTTTTAGCTTCGCCTAATAACATGCATTTCTCCCAATTTTAAGTAATAACTATATATAGGCATATCCTAGTATATATCTCTGTTCATTCATAATTTGAACGAAAAGTCTAAAAGTTGTTTTTTTATAGAGTCTAAAAATTATTATTTTTTATTAGGTATATATAGAACACAAAAAGCATGCGACTCACCTAATGATAACTGACTACCGCCGCCCATGAGCACTCGCAACACTGAATAAGTTGCAAGTGTGTTGCCAACCTCTTAAATGGGAATATGCTCTTTTAAAAGGTCTGCGGCACACTAGTTAGCACTTTAGGAATGTTTCATGGAGGTTACGATGTCGGATCTGTTTGAAAATACTGTTTCTGGAACTTGATTCCAAGCGTTGATTTAAAAGTGTGGATGTACCTATGTGAAAAAGAAAGTGCCTAAAAAACGTAGGTACAGTGGACGAAGTCCGTCATTTATTTAAATGGTTGTTTTTAATAAAGCCTTTGTATTGAGGTATTTAAGGCCTGGAGCATAAGAATACATAACAACCCAAATGACATTTATTATTAAATAGGCGTTCGAAACTTAAAATTGCTCTCCAACTAAATTGGTAATACTTTAAGAGCACATTTGCAAAATAAGCTACCGATATATGATAATATAAAAAACACTTTACAATCATCTAGCATACAAGATGAAATTTTTCACATAAATAATAAAATAGTATACCTAATTTCAACACATTCAAATATTTTCAAATGACAGTCAGTGTACAGAATGAAAGCTGTAAGGGTTGGGTGTGACCAATTCGCTAATGTCCATAATCTCATAATTCACATAATCGTGTATGCAATTAAACTCTCATTATCTATTGTCATCTCTAAGGAAGAAAAGTTGAATACTTCATGCTTTTAACATATAAAAGACTATCCTTCTAAAGCAAAAAATACTAAATGCTAACGCAGTTTGATTCTTTATGAGTTTTTAAATTATAGTCTGCTTTCAGGCTAAGAGATTTTACTGCTAATTTTATTTCATGTTCGCATGTATATTGAGTATAGTAAAAAGTTTATGAGTTTGTTCGGTAAGGGTAATCTAAGTTAATTGAGGTAATTTTATACCATTTGATACCCTATTTTATATGCATACGCATACATATAAAATGTGACTCGTCTATATATATATATATACATACTTACACTATCATATATGGGAATACATAGTGATTTAATTAGCCAAGTATTTAATCGAATATCCTAGTTCTAGAATTTAGTTCTATCACACTACAGACAGTAACCTAAACAAGCGTGATAAAGGTAAGTTGAAAACATTAATATATATATTTGCTAACTCTATGTTCTTATAGAGACCTCTTTCTTTCCCGTGGGTATCGTAAAAGGCGACTAAGGGAACTTAATGGTCGAGGGATTGGCAGCAGCATCTCTCTTAAAACATAATCTAAAGCCTAACTGCTGTTCCTAAAAGACTATAGCATGGGGTTCTTCAAAAGGGGGGTAAAGAGGTTTCTTCAGGGTCGGCAACGCACGCGTAATACCTCTGGTATTACAGGTGTTCATGGGCTACGGTAGCCGCTTACCATCGAGTGGGCCGTATGCTTGTTTGCCACCTCAGTGGATTAAAAAAAGTACCAATCCGCCTGCCAGGCGTGGCAATTGTTAGTAAAATTCTTTTATGGGTGTGCAGCAGTGGACAGTAAAGGGCTGATATGATTATGCTATATTTGAGAACATTTTTAAAGTTGGTTAAAAATTGTTGAAACTGCCACAATTACATTTGACATGTTTATGTAAATTTAAATGATAATAAAGTAGACGACATTTTGAAAAAAAAAATCTTCATAAAAGATATTTTTTACAATGGCCAGTATAATAAGATAATAATAAGACATCAAAAAGCAAGTGGCATTAATAAATCAATCAATAATAGCCTATGGTGTTTCGCTATTGAGCAAAGACCTCCATCAGCTGTTTCCATCTCACATGATCACCGGCCAAGTTGTACCAATTTATGTGCAACTAGTCAAGAGCGTCTCTTTACTACATACGAAGTCTTCAATGACTTCTTTTTTTATTATTAGAGAACAAAGATGTACGACTTTTGAACCACGTTCGTTTAGCATACGACATAAGCAGTGATTTAATTTGGAATCGTAGCTTGGGAGATACGAGCTAAATTACTGAAGCAATGCATTTTTGTGTGATACTTAATCGAGTATTATAGCTTTTTTGCTATATTGAGTTATGAAATCTGTTTAAATATCGTTAGTTAATTTCTTAGTATTTTTTTAAGTTCTAAGCTCGTGTTAATCTGCTCCCAAGTCAGTCTATTCGTACAAAGAATTATTTTCGATAACTTTGGGCGTGTAGTCTCGGCATAGAATGGGTCACCCCGCTCCGCTAGCGTATCCCGTTAGCGCAGGCGGGGTTATCATTCCATTTTCATCCAATAAAAAAAAAATGGGTCACCCTTTCCTTTCCTGTGGATATCGTAAGAGACGACTAAGAAAACTTATTGGTTTAGTGGTGGGCAGCAGCGTCTTTCTTAAAATATCACTAAAGCTTAACTACAATTGAAAACTCACTTGCCAAACGTGGCAACTACTGACAAAATCCTCCCGAACTTTTTATTCAGCAATACACAGTTAATGCCTGATATGGTATAGTAATAAGAAGGTTGGTTTCCGGAGCAGCACAGTACCCGGGATGTCCATGTTTCTGTTCAAATCTGTAGGAAACGATTATCACTCTTCATAAACTTGTTTGCCATTCCAAGTTGCGTGCTGCTACTAACTTTGGCTAAAACTAAAGGCGTAATTTCTCTAAATTTATCAAAATTAAAATTTCAATTTGATGTTATAGCTAAATCTTTACTCTAAAGACTAATATAGAGTCATGTCTATGTTTATGCATATAGTGCAGTAAGGAAATTGTTAATTAAAAAGTTTAATAATTGTTAATTTAGCACTGCACATATTAGGTTAATGTGTCGCCCCACCATTTTTATCTTAATTACCTTTATTTGTAAGATCCTTTTTACCTATTAATTTTGTCAGTTTCATGTCAGTCACACGTTAGTTACAAGCCAATTGAAATATACGTCTCTATGTTACTCGCCGTCTCAATAAACCCGTAACAACTAATATGGTCTAAATTTGTAATAGATTTAAGTAAAAATTTTTATAAACCTAGTATATCTTGTATCCATAAAACAGTAATTTCGCTATACTATCAAAATACAGGGTAGGTACAGAAGCATAACATCTTAATCCTCAGGAATGGTAACACAAAGGATATCATGAGCAACATAGTGTACTCTGTTATGACCATGCTACTGTTTTTATCTTTAGACGACGGTTATCACCTGGTGAGCCATCTACTTGTTTTCCTTTCTAATATTGTTTCAAAAAACAGAAAAAAAAGATTAAAACATTAGATTTAAAGAAATGGCACCTCAAAAACAACCCTATTGTTTTAGTAATAGGTTTCTTTCGGTTATTCAACCTTTTCTAATAGTTATTTGATTAGAATTATATTGTTTAATTCCGCTACCATTAGTATGCCTGTGACTGTCAACACTTGAACACGTGATCAATCTTCGAGTATCATATTTGACACCAATGATATAAACTTCCGCAAGATAACACCGAGTTCAGTAAAATATAAGATTCTAATATTATATATATATAATATTATATTAATAGTGCCTACTGGAGGGAAAGGGATTGTTAGTAATGGAGACTGAAAATCCTATTGCTAGCAATATACCCAACCAGGCCGACATCCTCGCGGTTCTTCCTGGAAACTATCATGGTTAATTCCTGATGAATTCATCATGATGGGTTAACGGGCCTGTTTTCATTCTCATCTATCACCCTTCACTGGTGCTCCGCCAGCGTATCCCGTTAGCGCAGGCGGAGTTACCATACTATTTTCACCCATAAAAAAAAAATAGTGCCTACTCATACGAGTAGATACGATACAATAAGGATTTGTAAAAAAGAAACAAAAAGTAACAGTTAATACGTGATATTTTTCACTGGTGACTACAATAAGTTATAAGTTAACATAATAAATATTCTAACTCTGTACATATTTACATACTTAAGAATTACATTGTATTACAAATATCACAGTTTCAAAAACGATTTTAAATAGCAAGCTTATTGGGCAATTAGTTGACTATATACATAGAGTCAATGTGTAGGGAATTTATTTGCTTTCAGTCTCAAGCGAGGGTTTTCCTCCCGTTGTGTTGCCTGTAAAAGAAAATTTTATTTAAATAATAGATCATATGAATCTAGATAGAGTGTCGAATGTTAATGAATGTCTATAAATATCTTGTAAATAAATATGTCAACCAACTATTAGCTGATTACTGTTGTTTAAAATATATTAAAGTACGTTATTTTTTGGTGTTACAGGGAATAACTAAATGTATTACTATTAATTAATTGTAGGAATAACTAATTTGGTATTACTATTGACACACACATATTGCTATAGATTATATAAAAATGGGTGTATGTTTTATTTGGAACTATATTCAATTTACTTCTGATTTTATAATTCTTGGCTATATATATAAGGATTGCAGTATTAAGTATATACTCTTAATATAACCTACCCTATATAAATTAGTAAGAAAACTCTTTTTTATTTTTTATTTATAAAACAGGGACCAAACTAGCATGCGATTCCACTGATGGTAAGACTACCGCCGCCCATTATCACCCGCAACACAAGAGGCACTGCAGGTGTGCTGCCGGCCTTTTAAAAAGGAATATGCTCTTATATTATATTACAATATATTCATTTATTAATTATTTACTTAAAAATGTATTTTTTTTTAAATAAACGACGAAACTCACCTTTTGTAACAAGAGCTCATTCTATTTACGTTTATTATTATAGAACATTTAAATAGCGGCAAATAACCAAGAATGCCACTGAGCAATAATCTCATCAGCCTCACTAATATTTTTCTTCACTAATCCTCTAATGTATTTAATTTTTATTTAGCTTAGTCGTAACAAACTGTCTCTAGACACTTATACTAGAGCTACACACGTCTGAGATCTTTATTTACGTCGATGCTAAGTACCTGTAAACAAAGATATTAAATGGTTTTTAATAAATTCTATTAAAAATATTCAATATCAAAACTACTGAAAAGCTATATTTTTTTTATACAACTTAGTACCGTGGACATAACGGAGTATACTGTTTCGCCCATGATACCTCCCATACGTTGCTATTCCTGAGCATTCAGGTGTTATTCCTCTGTGCCCTGTAAATTCACTGCTATATCCCACCCTTCAAACCGAAACACAGCCATGCAAACACAACTCTTCACGGTTGAATCACGAATGAGACAGAGGTACCCAAGCAAACTGGGAGACTGTACAAAAGTCATTTGGGTATCAGATCAGGTGGGTCGTCAGTTTGTTTGCCATTTTAAGGCGCAAAAAAAGATATTATTAGAAGCCAAGTAATCTATGCTTCTAATCATGATACCGCCATTTACCGTCATAAAATATTATGAGCTTGATGAATTATCGTTTGTTGGAGATTGACAAAGGAGATACGATTAATATTAATAATATTTTTGATTCTGGGATAAGATACAACAAAAATAACCAACCTGTTGATAATTTGAGGCATTGATTGAACGATAAAATTGGGATCAAATAAGTCGCATAAAACCAATTTATGGTAGACATAACGGTATCACCCACAAAAGTATCTATATTACTATATATAATAGAAACTTAGAATCTAATTACTTAGACATTTTTATTTAGTTACTTTACATTAATTTTTGTATTCAGAAAGATTATAGAAATATCATCATAATATCAGATATCAGTTGTTTTTTTATACATTTTTAATTTTTAACGTTAATCTTTTTTTTTTAATTGGGTTATTTATTGTAACTAAGTACCTTCTTAATGAAAAATTGTCTAAAATGTAATAAATAAAAAAGTATCAATAGTTTTTCAATAAATAGAAGATTAAAAAGCTATTTATCTTTAACATTAATTAAAAATTATATAGATAGAGTATCTTGATGCCAAAAACATATCAACTATTTTGTCCCTATTTTTCGTGAATAGGGTTATCATAATGTACCATTTATTACTCAGTATATGGGAGAAATTATATCATAAGGTTGAATTAAATAATTAAGATTGGGTTCCATAAAAAACCAACTTCAATTGTGGGGAAACCTGTTATTTTGATTTAAAGAGTAAACTACGAAACCAATTACGATAAAATTTCTATAAAATCAATCTGTTAGTATATTTTTTCACATAAGAAAAAAAAATCTAAATCGGTTTACAACTGACGGAGTTATGAGATAACAATCATAAAAAATACAACTGAATTGAGAGCCTCATTCTTTTTGAAGTCGGTTGAAAATAAATACAACACAAAACTTTATTATATATTTAAAAGAAAACAATGCGTAATAATTAGCAGGGATTCCCATCTTTACTGAATACTTTGTTTTTATTTAAATATAGACATAAATATATCCTTATTTTCAAATAATTGAGAATGACCATAATTTGATAAATACATATATATTAATTTATAAGCAATACATACATATGCTGTATGTGGGTGTCTTAATAGGCGACTAAGGGAATTTAATAATCAAGGGATAGGCAGCAGCGTCCTTCTTAAAATAGTATCAAAGGTCTAACTATGGTTGCCAATCTGTCTACTAAGGAGGCAACTACTGGCAAAACCTCTCAAGGGGGAGGCCTATATTGAACAGTAAACAGTTACCGGCAGATATGATGATAATGATGATGATGACGTACATATATATATATATATATATATATATATATATATATATATATATATATATATGTATATATTTACTTATTATTATTTTAGAAAAAATAGTTTCCAATTCAAGTAAAAAATCGACCTGATTTTCTTGCAACACAAAAAAAGCAATAAGATTTGATGCTTTATCTATATAATCTAAGTTACTAGTACTAATATTATAAATGTGAAAGTAAATTTGTTAGTTTACCTGGTTGTTTCTTTTTGAAGCCTTAACGGTTCAACAAATTTTTAATAAATCTGACATACTTATAATTAATGCAATAGATAAGGGCATAGGCTACTTTTTATTCTACTCTATTTACATAATATCTCCATCACGCAGACGAAATCGCAGGTAAAGACAAGTAGTAATTAAATAAATAATTTGGACTTAATTTTAGGTTACTCATGGACCCATTGTTTTGGAAACCATTTTGTGTTCACTACTAACTTCCAAATTTGAATATAAATGAGATAAGGTCTTGAATTATAAATTTGTAAATGCATATACTTAATAAGTATGGAATAATATACCTAGTAATACAATCATGGGTTTACCCAGCTTCTGGCTCAGAGAAGGGGGGGGGGGGGCAAGTCAAGTTTATGGCGATTGTCGCTCTGGCTTATTGTGCGGTTTTTCAATTAGCGCATAATATATTGTAAGGCATACAATTTTCAGGGGTGGAGGGCAGATGCCTTCCATTGGCCTCCCCCTGTGTATGGCCATAACGACAATAATAGATATCATATGACTAAAAATATATTACATAAGAACAAATACAAAATACTAGCACACGAAGTTACTTAATATTTGTAACTTCATAAAAAATAATAAAAAAAAAATAGAACAGTTCCTTTGTTTCTATAATTTTGGAGTTGGGATTTGTTAACTTGAATTCGTTGAGGACTGTAGGTAAAGAATAGATATTAATTTGTATCTATATTAGGAACTGTAACTAGAGAATCCTAGAAGAACGGTTTCTATTTTTGTTTTTTAGAATAGGTAGCAGTTTATCGCCACTATGCTGGAGTTCTTAAGGTATATAAATAATAATAAGGAAAATAGGACATTTTATAATAAAATATTAAAATTAAATAACGCAATATCTGTTCAGTGGCGATATAGTACATAAAATCGACACATATATTGAAATTAGTTGAAAAAAGGGGGAATGTTATATAATTCAACACTTTGTAAAACATAAACAAATAATACAAAAATAAAAAAAAATATGTAAAAAATATATTTAGTTTTTCATTTATTTCCAAAGATTGTCTAATGTAGTGGTAAAAAAAATATATTTATACTATCTACTAATCGTCAGCGCCCTTTTGACTTGGAAGGGCGCTAACCAACTTGCCCTACTTTTGGGCATAAGTTCTCCAATGGAAAAGGCCAATGTATGATCCTCAGTGCGAAAAACGGAGAATTGCACATATTGGAAGGCATTGGGTGAGGCCTATATCCAGCAGTGAATAGAAACAGGCCGATACGATGATGAATGATGATGCTTTTAAGAGACTGTTCTACCAGCGGAACTGTACATTTTCACTACAGGAACATGGGTCGAAATGTGACAAAATAGTTTCTTCTTAGTTTTAATTTTCGATTACAAAGAATTCAAGTCTGATGGTACCTTCATTAATTTCTCGTATGGCGACTTTGATTTTAGCCTACACAAACATATATTTAATTCCGTAAGTATGACAAGTAATGCACCTATTTACGTAATGATTCTTTTTGTAAGCTGTGCTTTTACTATAAAGGAATAAAATAGAGAACTCTAAATTGTATTTTACTAATAATAAAAAACAAAAACTAAGTGCAACATTTTTTATATCACAAAAGTGGCATATAAGATCTGCAACACTCCTTCATATGCTACAGTGACCGTTTACCATCAGAGTCACGTTTTTGACCCTAAAGTAACTTTAATACACTCTTTTGGACCCGTACTGTAGTCTTTAAAGAAAAGCTCAACAAGGAGCTAATTCTACATCCTGAGTGTTCGCAGGAGAAAATTCTACTGAAACCGTACTGTACACGGTTATTTAGATTCTAGCGTGATTAATAATTTGGTTTTGACTATTTATAACTTAAAATATGCCTATTTCTACCCTTAATTTTAACCCCATTTTTCTCAAAGTCAGTACTTCGAGAAAATTATAAGATGTGGTATATCTTAGTTATTTGTACATATATTATGAGTCTTAATAAAAAAAATTCAAACATTATACTATAAAAAAATTATAGGCCTTCCATATTACTTTCTACCCATTATTTTTTCTTAAAGGAGGACTTTATAGAATGTTGTTGAATGTTAATATATGTACTTGTAAGTTTTAAATCATGATTTTAAATAAAAAAAATCGAACATAAAAAAAATATTATTTAAGACTGTTTCACAAAGAAAAAGAGTTTCATAAATAATATTCAATTGCTAGTTAAAATTTTAAACAATAAGTTTTTCATTCAGTAGATAATATTCAAATTTCTGTTTCTGTGTGTGTACATCAATGTAGGTAACATTTAGATCGGCTAAACATTTTGATGGGTCAATTAGACCCCATTACTAACAACCCCTTTCCTCCCACAATTGTTGTACCAGCCGTTAACTGTCCTCTGCTGAATATAGCCTCCCTCATTAGAGGGATTTTGCGAGTAGTTCTCATGCTTGGCAGGCGAGTTGGTAATTACAGTTGGCTTTTGATGATGTTTTAAGAGAGACGCTGTTGCCCATCTCTCTATCACTAAAAGAATTTATCTCTTAGTCGCCTCTTATGACATTCGCGGGAAAGGAAGTGGTGGCCTATTCTATGCTGGGACCTACATGGCAATGATATACAATTACAATAGGATTAATAACGGTGGTTTCTTGGGATGATCTTTTGGAACTCGACCTAACCGGGTATATTGTTGGAAATAGCGACTAGTCCCCATTTTGAACAGTTTCTTCCTCTAACGGAAGCGAAACGCCAAGAGATCTCAATTGAGCAGTAGATTGAGCATCGAAAATTCACGTGCATTACCCACACTCAGGGCCTAAGCTAGAGTCAAGGTTAAGATAGAGCAAAAAAAAACTTTTTGGTAGAGCAGAAGCCATAATTAAGTGACTTCGAAAAAGCCAATCTGTCTAATTTTCTTGGGGCCTTCCATTTTAAGGTAGGCCATTGGGCCTTTTAAGGTAGGACATTGCCCCTCCCTCCTAGTTACAGCCATGGGCACAGTACAAACAGAATCAGATCATATTCCAAAGAAGGTGCTTGATTAGAATCCTCAAGGGAAGTGGAATTGTGACCGCCCCAAATAAATCTGGCATCGCACAGTTCTGACAGGAGGACACATGGAGGAAACGAGGAAGACGTGAAATGAGCTGAAACGAATAGCACTAGATTGATGGCAATGTAGGATCATTGTAGTAGTCTCAAAGAACCCCATGACATTTATGTGTCACCATGTTTGATATTCAGTTGCAATCATTTAACTTTGGATTTATTTTGTGTCAGACGATAAAGCAAAATAGTGCGGAAAGATTTTTCAAAATCAAATATATTTTGGATTACTCTTTATATGTATTGTGTATTTTTGATTTTTTTTAACATTGACTGGGCCTGAAGCTATCATACAAATTTGAAATTTCTACTTTTTATCATCAGAATTATGTACGTAATGCACTTTTTATATATATTTCGATTAAAAAAAAAAGAAGAAAAATGGTTCTTTAAAGGAATTAAATAAATGTCTATAGCAACTTAATATTTTGTAAATCTTTAAATTTTGCACTTAGGTACCAAGATAAACTTAAGAATTGCTTATATAATATAGTGTACCTATTTAAAAAATCTGTATTAAGAAATATATAAAATCATGCGCAAAATTTATTATGTTTGTATAATAAAACAGAACTTACCATTCATGAATTAAGCGTATAATGTGAGAATTGACTGGTGTCCCGCCACGTCCATAATGGAGGTAAACAGGATTGCTGCAAGCCCGCCAGCAGCTCAGCATGATACCTCTGCGCAGCCAGCAAATAAGGAGCTGGAGGGAGTGGCAAGGGACAATGTGGCTGCAGAGGCGGTGGTGGTAGAGGTGGGGGTGATGGTGATGAACGACGAGGCTCTGGCTCCAAAAGAGCATCTATAGTAAATGCCCGTCGAGGTCGTGGCCCTATTGGTAATAATGCTGCTGTGTCTGGTGCATCTATCGGTTCAGGACTAGGCCTTGAACACATAGTCGCTGCTGGTGAATATAGACTACCGTTTGGTAAACTAGGTGCCTGGGGAGCCCCGGCCTGTCTCGCTAAGAATGCTCTATTAAAACTAGCGAGTGCTGCCAATTCTGCGTTTAAGCTATCTTTTTCGCCTTTATGCAGCTTGAAGCGTTTGCGTCTCCTAAGCAAGGATCCATTCTCGAACATGTCGAAGGCCTGCGGATGCAGCGTCCAGTAGGCGCCCTTGCCGGGCCGGTCCGGGCGGCGCGGCACCTTCACGAAGCAGTCGTTGAACGAGAGGTTGTGCCGCAGCGAGTTCTGCCAGCGCTGAGTGTTGCGCCGGTAGTACGGGAACCTGTCCGTGATGAACCGGTAGATCTCCGACAGCGGCAGCATGCGCTCCGGTGAGCTCCAAATCGCCATGGCTGTCAGAGCTATGTATGAAAATGGTGGTTTTTGGTCACCGTAAGACTCACGTGTGGGCCGAGGCATGTTTAGCACAATACCGTTTTATGTGTAATATGTCACCTTGTTTATGAAAACTATCAGGCAACACGACTCTCACAGCTGAGTGGAAGATAAGGACTGGGTGAGTGAGCGAGACTGTGTCCGCGAGGCGGGTGGGGCTGCGTCGATGGCGCCGCCCCATGGCGCCGGCACCAATCGCGCGCCTCTCTGTTTGTTTGTTGTTTTTGTCGGCTCCGGGCCTGTTACAGAGGAATTTAAATTGTTATCACGTTTACATTATACAAAATTTATTCGACACCGACAACACTTGAGCTTGTTTCGAAATTGCAATGATTAAAGAAGTAGGTATGTATCGATGCTGTGTGCGAGCGAGAGAGTACCAGCTTCAAAGTAATCGGAGATGATCTTTATTAATAGGTATATACGTAGGTGGTTAGCAGAGCTTGCACCAAATTCATGATGGCTGACGTTTATTAACATTTTGGATTAGGCTTCCAGGTGGTGATTAAACTAAATTGATTGACGGGTACTTAAGCCACTTTCTTGACATAAATAAAACAGAATATTAATTTTATTGTAGGTAATAATTTTGATCATTAATAATGTTTTTTTTTAATGGATGGAGACGGTGCACTCGCCACCGTATGCTAATTTCATACAATGGCAGACCATTTAGTTTCTAGCCAGAATATGACGATGAATTTTATATCGATAGCATAATTGATGGTAGGTAATATATAAATTATATATATGTACGTATTATCTATATCATGATGATCTGAGATTTCCTGTTTTAAATTTACCTCATATTTAAAAATAATTAACTATATTTGTAGCTTTCTAACCTAAATAGGGGGTGAATGTCATATTTTTAATTATTCCTTTAAGAAAGATTTTGTTGTACTGATTAACAATTAAAGTACCATTATAAAGTACAATTAAGTTTAATTTACAATTATATTTGACAAGTGATAAATCAATTTATTAATTATTATAGTTTTCATGCAAATACAATATTCGTTTCAAACAAAGAATGTTGAAAATGTCCATTAGCTAGACAATTGTGTCACAATTAAAATTGTTCTTTTGTTGCATAACAAAATGTAATCGCCTCACATACCGGTACTTTAATAATAATTTATGAAAATACATGCATATGTTTAGTAGATTTTGAAGCTAAAGAATGAGATAATTGTTAGCAAAGTAATTAGTTATATGCACAAACGAGCTGGTGATCTCCATGATGAAACCCCACAGAAGCTGCGTAAACATGTTAATATTAAACCATTCAGGGCAGGACTATTCAACTAAATTATTTTTTTTTATTCAACTTAGAATGGCAAACAAGGGGACGGCCCACCTGATGGAAAGTGGTAACCGTCGCCTATAGACATGAGCAGTACCATGGACATAACAGAGTATACTGTTTCGCCCATGATACCCCCCATGCGTTGCTATTCCTGAGGACTCAGGTGTTATTCCTCCGTACCCAGTAAATTCACGCCATAACCCACCCTTCAAACCGAAACACAGCCATGCAAACACAACTGCTTTACGGTTGAAACACGAATGGGACCCAAGCAAACTGTCTGAAAACTGTACAAAAGTCGTTTGGGTATCAGATCAGGTGGATCGTCAGTTTGTTTGCCATTTTAAGGTGCAAAAAAAGCAATCGACTTTTGTACAAAGTCTCCCTCTGGTATTTAAAATTCATTATGTTTTTAAAACAAAAAGAAGTTATAAAAAAACATTAGGTAATAATCTTAATACTCCATCATCGTTCCATAGCAATTAGTTACAAGTATATATATAGATATATAAAATGAATCATGAACTTACAATTCAGTCTGCACCGTTACAATACTGGAAAGCTTCATTTATACAATATTTAGCACACACGACATTATTATATTATATATACATTTATACATACACACTAGTCATAAGTCTTAAAATATGACAAATGAGACACTTCACTAAAAAGGCAATATTGTAAAAAATTTAAAGTGAAATAGCGTTGCCAGTAGACTTTTTATTTCGCTAATGTTTGGGCACTTTTGGTTGGGGCACTCTCAGAGTAAATCGTCCACAGCTAATGTGCGGGGGTGTTAGCTATTGTTGCTTATTCGAGTCTAATGGCCCATGGCGCAAACATTCGTATTTGCAAAGGTTTCATCGGGATCCATTGCATTGTTCGACAGAGTCGATATTTTATCAACTAATATGTTGCTTGTATTTTCTATTGTAGATGTATTTTTTATTGTTAGCTAAACTAAAATATCAAGTTAGTTTTGAAGTAATATGTAAATATAATTATTAATAAGATAGGATAGATACTCTTTATTGTTACTTTCAAAGATTACACTAAAATACTTAACAGAAACGATATCTAAGTCGAAACAGGTCACATGGAAAAAGCAGTGGGCAATCTTATCTATCGAATAACATTAGATCAAAAGCAATGTGATTAAAATTTTATTACAAGTACTTAGAGCTTATTTTATAATTATTGTTTATAAAAAAAATCGGTAACCTATACCAAAAATTATAACTTGAAAAGTGAGCATATATAAATAAAAGCCAATGATCTATAGAACAAGCGTTCACTTTTTAATTTTCACTTTTGAAGATAAATATTTAGTAATACACTAAAAACAAATAAAAAAAGTTAAAAGTTAATAAAAGTTAATAAAAATATGACCAATTAAAATTTTAACACTTTTTAAATCCACTTAAAAAAGAAGGAACTCGGTTATTTTTTTATGTTTATTACTTCATAGTTCTATCAATTGTAAACCGATATGGAATTTTTTTTTCTAAAAAGATATCCTTATAATACCTATAGAAATTTTATCAAAATCAGTTCTGTAATTTAGATTTTAAATCAAAATAACTGAGATTGTTTTTTTTTTGTTGAATACAATTTTCAGTTTGACAAAATTTCCATTTTGTCTTGAGTTCTTAAATAAGACTTATTTAGATATATTATATCTATGTTATTATATATGAACTAAGGAGTGGTTTGACAAATTATCAAAGCAATCATCGTCATCATTTCAGCCATTATCTGTCCACTGCAGGACATAAGCTTCCCCATTGACTGCCATAAAGAACGGTATTGAGCCATCTGCATCCACCGACTTCCTGCAAAGCAATAGGTACCATGTCTAATTCTTTAAAAATATTTAAAGAATTAATCAATAAGTTATTACATTAGTTACTTAATTTGCTTGATGATGAATTATAGGTATCCAAAAGCTAATACGATTCTATATAAATAATTCGAATAGTAATTTCTGCGAGTTATATTGATATTTTAATACTGTCGCTGATTGGAGGGAACCATATCTGTCCGTGGTTCTGCAACCCAGCCACGTCCTGCTAAATTGTCGGCGTCTGAGCAAATCGACCCATTAAATTCAATCGGCCGCAGTACAAGGGGACAGAAGCACCCCCTACATCTACTATGTAATTTTGAGATATTAAAGTAACATTGCAGTAACATCGACATTCCTCTTTGTATGCCAAACACAACCCGCCTTTAGTAGGCGGTCAAGTTTGAAACATTGTCAGCAAGTAATTCATGCGATGGGAAAGGTTGAATTGTCTGTATTTTTTTTTTTATTTACAATATAACATATATGCAATCATTAAAAATAATCATCATCATATCAGCCTTTAACTATCCACTGCTAAACATTAGCCTCTTCCTTGGTAAGTTTGCCAGTAGTTGCTTCACTTGGCAGGCAGATTGGCAAACCGCAGTTAGCTTTAGAGATGTTTTAAAAGGGGCCTCTTACAACACTAACGAGAAAGGGAGGGGTGGCCTATTCTATGCCGGGTCCACACTATATACTTACCTATATATATAAATATTACTGTAAAAATTCGTATTTTGGTAAATCGTAGATTTTATCAGTAAATCTTAGTATTTATTAACAATAATTAGTACCTAATTGTAAGGAATTTATAAGAAAAAGTTTATTTTGGGGCTTTTACCTAATCAAAATTAACTTACCTACCTTTCTGACCACGTACACCATCATCATCTAAATATGTCTTAATTTTATGTTAATTTTTAACATTACCATGTCTCTAATCTAAATATACAAAATTTTAGATTTAACATAATTCGGGGTTTATAGTAAACAGACAATAGATAGAACAGTAACACGTAATATTTAAATATGATCATTGCGTAGTGTTCGTAATTTTTTTTTAAATTAATTCTGTTTACGAATCATTTCGTCATTCGTCATCATTATGAAAAACCATCATGTATTTGCGGTAAAAGTTTGCAACTTTCAAATTTTCACTATGGCCTTAAATACCATAATGAAAATGGTTGTTACAAAAAAACTTTAATCCTGTTTACTTTTATAAACAATATTCTAATTTCTCTTGTAATTTTAGATAATTAATTATATTTATAATTAATAAGGGTCACTACCGTTTTGAATTACGTCATAAATTCCGCGTATTTTTGATGAAAAAATCTTAACTATTGCGAGTACAGTAGATACTTAAGCTTAAAACTTTAGCTAATATGAAAACAAAAATAAAAACGAAAGTTTATTTTTCAAAAATATACATCCCATTGAGCATAACTGCAATTTAACTGTACCCCAAAATATATATCCGAACCTTTCAAATGCAGATCCAACGTTTTGCAATGTTTCAACTTTTAAATTTTATAGAATACATTTTAAATTCACGATTTTGTTTCCTCATACAATCACGAGTGCATTGTTGGATGTTTAGTCACGGTGGATGCGTTTTACAGATATGTATGACATGCGTGTAATACGTTAGCAAATTGTATTAATTCAATATTTATAAGAAAGGGCATTTGTTCCCTTCACGATCTTTTTAAACATTGTTATAAATTATAAATTATTACAGTTAACTTTAACTACACTTTATAGATATACATATTTATGTATATAGGTATCGAATAATTTAGTTATAAAATTAAAATGAATATATTTATAAAATGATGTACAATAATGTATAATAATGAGGGTGTTAAGGATTCTTCAGGATTGACAACGTGCACATGACATGTTGCAAGCATCTGTATTACACATTGGTGTAGGTATATAACCAGGCAGCCA